GACAGGGGGCGGGGCCGGTTCTAGGGCGGGCCTGGTGGAGACCAGACCCCAAGGCCCGGAAGCGGCCGGAACTTCGGGTCCCATCATGGACCAAGAGGATCGAGAGCTCCTCCGGCGGTGCCGCTTGCGTCTGGTGGGTGACCTGCAGGTGGCCCCGCTGTGGGACGCTCTGCTGAATCGTGAGCTGTTCACGCCCGACATGATCGAGGACATCCAGGTGTGCCCCCCTAAACCCCCTACCCCACTCAGCCTGCTTCCCCGCCTCTCGCTCGCGCGTGGACTTCCAGGTCCCTGGGTCGCTGGTGGGGACATGAGGGCTGCTCCAAGAGGGTCGCTGAAGTCTTGGCGTGACTTCATGGCCTAGCCCCCGCCCGCGTTTTTCCCGCTGCAGCAACGGGTACCCACTCCCTTTAGAGAACCGTGGTGTGGAAATCCCGTTTTTCCTTCCTGTATGGAGCCCCCAAACCTCCAGGGGAACTGAAAAATCTCAACACCTCTTTACTGAATGTCAAAGCGACCCCACATCCTGCACCATCAGCATGCCCTGTTGGTACCTGTGTTTCTTGGGAGGAAGTAGGCATGTGTGTGTTTATTTTCTAGCGTAGAGGCTCTGGGCACCCACTCCGGCGTCAGACTGCCTGGCACTGGGTCCTTGGCCAGGTCATTTACATTTGAGCTTCAGTTTGCAGAGCAGCGAGATGGGCAGCGCTAATACAGTTTTAAGCGGTAAGGGAGATCATGAATATCTAGGAGCACCCAGTATGCGGCCCGCTCTGGGTAGTGAAAGTGGTTGGAGACCATATTCCTTGCCTTCAGGTATATTCACAGGGATCGCAGACTCAACGCCCTGGAGGTCCCATGGGTGGGCACCATAGTGGGCAGCTTCTGCCCTGCCCCAGTCTCCAGCTGAAGTGTGGTCACACCAGGGCCTGACCTACTCTCCCTGTGTCTTTCTCACTTTTAAAGAGAGCCTGGAAATCTTGATTTTCCTGTCAAATTCCTGGACTTAAAATATTAGAAATAGCTCCTTGTGGTGGCACCTCTCCGCGAGCTACATCCCCGTCTTGTTTGATTTTCTGTTTTGAGATGGGATCTTGCCAAGTTATCTAGGTTGGACTTGAACTTGCTTATCCTCGGACCTCCATCTCCTGAGTAGCTGAGATTACAGACATGAGCCGTTGTGCCTGACCCCTTACCCCTGCCTTTTTTTTTTTGTTGGCCTTTGGATCCTGAGGAACTTACCTGGTGCTGAGGCGAAGGATGGACAGCAGATAACCAGGCTGGAACTCCTGCTCCCTTAGTGAGCAGCCCCACCATTTTTTTTTTTTTTTTTTTTTTTTGTGGTACTAGGGATTGAACTCAGGACCTTGTACTTGCCAGGCAGGTGCTTATGCCACTGAGCTATATCCCCAGCCCTAGCCCCACCATCTTGACACCTGTCTGTCAACCCTGACTGGTCCTCCGCCTTCATAGTCTGCCCAGTCAGGAGCCGCATCCTGTGCATTCTTCCTTCCATCTCAGCTGTGCTGCCTGCCACCTCCTGGCCTGCTGGTGGCCCACCCATTGTCCAGTCTGTCCCCAGGATGATTTTTCTAAAAAGCAGATCTCGCTCTTTCTTTCTCGGACTCTTCAGTTGCTTCTTATACTTCTCAGGATGAATTTCTTGGCCTGGCCAAGCAGAGGCCTTGATCCTCACCCCCACCGCCCCGCCACTGCACCTCCTTCTCTTACCTGTCTGAATTCATTTTTCACTTCCTTGTCTCCCCTATGGTCTCTCCCCTATGGGTAGTGAAAGTGGTTTGAGGCCATATCCCTTGCCTTCAGGTATAAACCATCCTTTCCTGACCCACAGGGCTGCATTGGGTGGCCCTGTATCTTGCCAGCCCCATGGGCTCTCCCTCCAGGCACGTGTCTCCTTGCCGTGTACTTGCTGACTTCTCTGTCTGCACTGCCACTGGAAGTTTACACCTGTGGAAGACCCTGTGTGCTGCAGTTTTCACACTTATAGGACAGGGTCAGGCACAGGAGATGTCTCTGACATACCACATGCTATGGAGGGGCGCATGTCCAATGCACTTCAGGCCCAGTTTCTGCACATGTGCTTGATTGTCTAGACTAACGCTACATGGGTAGTGGGGGACAAGACGAGGGCCACGTGAAAGCACCTGGTTAACAAGTGTCTGGTTTTTGTGTCCAAACAGCGCGCAGGCTCTGGATCTCGGCGGGATCAGGCCAGGCAGCTGATCACAGATCTTGAGACCCGAGGGAGGCAGGCCCTTCCTTTATTCATCTCATGTTTAAAGGACACGGGCCAGGACACACTGGCTTCATTGCTGTGCGCAAGTCGGCAAGCAATAAGGAGGGATCCAGAGGCCATCCGACCCCTGGACCCAGAGCCTGCGGTGATGGAACCAATGGTGCCCAAACCAAGTAAGCCGAGAGTGACGAAGGTGGATGCAGTTTATCTGGACCCAGGATTTGTCACCCCAGTGCTGAGGCGGTCAGGGGAGGGAGGCGGGTTTGGACAGTGCCAGAAGTACCCAGATCCGTGGACATTGGTTCTGGAGGATGTTCTGGAGTGTGACAAGAGTGCTTGGCTGGTGGCAGTGGCGAGGGGGTCATGTACCACTCACTGTGGTACAGCTGGGTGGCCTGAGATGCAGACTTTAATTATGCTGTTGTCTTACTGAGTGTTAATAGGGATGGGTGGAATGTTCCTGTAGGTCTTCAGGGGATGTAATTTTGGCAGCCTGTCCTCTGAAAAGCAGGTGATGATATCTGTTTTGGGGACCCCGCTTCCGATCAGCATTTTTAGGTTGAAATATGGTTCAAGGCTTGGACTAGCCTATGGTTGGCAGCCAGAGGGAGGCCTCTGTTTGCTGGGAGTCTGCCCTACTATCTGTCTGTCTGTCTGTCTACCTATCTATCTATCTATGCATCTATGCATCTATCTCCTTCCATCACAGCAGCTCTGCAAGGCAGGTATCATTAGACTGTCTTGTCTGTGAGGTGAAATCTTATCTAAAATCATAGGCTTCATGGACACATATAAAATATATGAATTCCTAGGGTACAGATGGACTTTTACCTGCAGGTACACACAAGTAGCCATCACCCAGATCATCACCATACAGAACATTCCAAGAACCAAGAAGCTGTTCTCTTCCTAGTCTGTCCTGCTCCCCAGCTGAGATAATCACTGTAATCCCTTTTGCTTGTCCTTGAATTTCAATATAAATGAAATCCTATGGTATGGACTCTGGTGAGTCTGGCTTCTTTCACTCATCCTTACATCTGTGGAATTCAGCCATATTGTTGGACATCTAAGAGTCGTTTCTTTGACTCTGCTAGGTGGTAGTGGCTTTTATTCTGAAGAATCCACAGTTTGTTTAACCACTGCGCTGCACTGCATGGGTTGATTGTAGTTAAGGCTTTGTTTTCACACAGCATATGGAGAGCTAGTGCTGTGTTTCCTGCTTCATGTTTGCCTGGTAGACCCTTGCCTCTCAGCGATGTTAATAAGACAGTCATGGTTAACACTATCGAGTGCTTACTATCTGCCAGGCACTCTTCAGAGTGTTTGCATAAAGGATCTAATTTATTCTTCCCAACTCACAATTTTCTCATTTTTCTGTGGAGCAGAGGAAGGCACAGAATAGGAAGTGAATTTCCCCAAGTACAAAGCTAGTGAGAGGTGGACAGGATTGTGGTCCAGGCTTCCTTGTGCCTTGCACTGTGAGTCATTTGTCCACCTCCTGATGGACATTCATGTTGTTTCTGCTGTGGACTTTTACGTGCATCTCTCTCTGACTGGGGGACAGGTTTCTCCAGACACAATTGTGGGTTAGTAGGGTACCTGTTCTCTTCTGACAGGTGCTTCCAACTTGTATTTCGAATACGTGTTAAAATCTCATCATCAGGGCTGGGCATGGTGGCACACGCCTGTAATCCCAGCACTCAGGAGGCTGAGGCAGGGGGAGGCTGAAGCAGGAGGATTGCTGAGAGTTCAAGTCCAGCCTGGGCTACACAGTGAGTTCAAGGCCAGCCTGAACTACCCAGTGAAACCCTGTCTAAAGAGAATCTCACCAGCTATGGGTGAGGTGATCATTTTCCCACACTCTTGCCAATGACAAGTATCAATATTTTTTCCTGTGTGATGTAAAAAGTGGTATTTGTTCCGAATAAGTATGATTTTGGATAACTTGCTAAAGCAAAAACCAAACATGATGAAGATATGAAGCTGCATCTGCTTGAGGTAGAAGGGAGAAAACCAGGTGTGGGTATTGTTCATAGCCACTGTTGTCTTCTTGGAAAGGAGGCGGAATACAAAGTTCATCTGTTCTTCCCTGTTCTCTGAATTTCTTTCTTTTTTTTTTTTTCTGAGACAGGGTCTTGCTATGCAATTCAGACTGGCCTTGAACTCACTTTGTAGCCCAGGCTGGTCTCAAACTTGCAATGATCCTCCTTCCTCAGCCTCCTGAGTGCTGGGATTATAGGCATGCGCCGCCACGCCCGGCTGTTCTGTGAATTTGAGTGGTTTATGCCCAGCTGTCTGGACTTGAAGCTTCCTGTTCTTTTATAAGATATTTATTTCCTATTTGTTGTGAATATGTATTCCCAGTGGGAGCCTCATTCTAAGTGTTAATAATAATCATAGCAATAACAGGATTGATGTGAATGGGAGTGTCACTTTACAGTGCACGCAACGAATTTTCATCTCATCGCAACCACACTGGACAGTGGTGGCTGGGAAAGCCTCTGTTATTATCCTCCACTTCCAGGGGAGAAAGCTGGGGTCTGAGAGCAACAGTTGCAGAGGAAGTTCAAGGGCAGCGCTAGGACCAGAGACTACAGCTTCTGGCTTCATAGAGGGACTGACCCTGATGCTGCTGACAGATATCCTTCCCTGTGGGTGCTGGGCTTGAAGCCCCTGAATACCGTCCAGGAATATTTCCCAAAGCAGGTTCATGGCGATCACATAGAAGAGTCCTGTAGTTGTGTAAGTGTGGCAAGATCTGGGTGAGCAGGAGCAGGCTGCCGACAGGATTTGGCAGAAACTTTACAAAGCTCAAAGGAGAAAGAGTGGTCTAGACTGGTGCTTCTTAACACAGTTTTGCTTCTTCTTCTCCTTACTCCTGGACATTTAGAGAGATGTTTGGTTATGACAGCTGCAGGGGAGTGGGTGCTGCTGGCATCTTGTGGATAGAGCCAGCCAGGGCTGCTTCTGAACTAAGCATTCTGTGATGCCCAGGATAACCTTTGGGCTGGAGGTGTCGCTCAGTGGTGGAGCGCTCATATAGCAGAGGACCCGCGTCTGCACTCAGGAGTGATCTGGCTGCAAGTGAGTGCCCCTGAGTAACTGGAATGGCCACACTCAGCTTTCCTGAGTTCCCCATTGTGCGAGGTACCGTCTTATGGGCCTCACATGCCGTCATCAGTGGAAGCTTCGCCGAAACCCTGTGAGATTCCTGGTTGCCGCTGTTGTGTCATGATACCGAAGGGAGGAACAGAGGCCCAGAGGGTCTGAGCAGTTTGCACTGCGCCAAACAGCTGGTCAGCGGCAGAGTTGGGGTTGAACACTGGAGCGTCAAGGTCCTGACTCACTCTGTCAACTGCCTTAGAGAATTATTGGCTCATTGTCTTTCTTGCCTCTATGTTTCTGTCACTTTCGCCTTAGTTATGCAGATATTTGCCAAGGATCTGCTGGGGACACAGTATTGGTGAAGGGTGTACAGTCCTTGCCTTCACAGGGAGGGGCAGAGATTCGGTTTATGCCCATGCAGTTAGGTCTTGTTTTGTTTTGGTATTGGGGATTGAACCCTAGGCCTCTGCGTAGAGCTGTATCCCTTGTATTTTATTTTTTTATTTTGAGATAGGCTCTTACTAAATCACTAAGTTACCCAGCCTGGGCTCAAACTTGGCAATCCTCCTGCCTCAGCCTCCCAGAGCACTGGGATTACAGGTGTAGGGCACCACAGCTGGCTTCCAATTAGGTTTTTATAATAACAGCTGTGGTTAGGGCTATGAAAAAGTTACTTTGGAGGGGTGCAAGGCACAGGAGCCCCCCCATCAGAGAGTGTGCCTTTGTCTTTATATGCAGGAGGAAAAATGTCTTCCTTCAGAATGAAATTCCCTTTTTTACTTTTAGATGTGATGCCCCTCTGTGTGTGTGTGTGTGTGTGTGTTTCTGTGTGTGTACACGTGAGCCCTTTTCCTGGGATGCCTTCCCTGTGTGGCCCTGTGTAGATTTGTTCCCTCTAGACACCCCTGCAGCTTATGGGCCCCTAAGAGCATCTATTTTTTTTGTTGTTGTTTGTTTTTTCAAGACAGGGTCTCACTGTGTAGGTCAGGCTGGCCTTCAACTATGGTCGAGGAGCCTGGTCTACATAGCAAGACCCTGTCTGGAAAAAAAAAATAAATTAAGAATTGAGACAGTATCTCGATAAATTGCCAGGCTGCAGTTTATTGTAAGTTGCTGTGTTTGTAACTTGCAATCCTCTTCCCTCAGAGTGGTGGGACTCTCGGCCTGAGCCACCAGGTCTGGCAGCAAAGATCAGGTCTGGGGAGAAAGCAGCCCAGCATAGTGACAAATGTCTGAAATCCCTGTACCTCAGGAGCTGAGGCAGGAGGAGTTCAAAGTTCGAGGCCAACTTGAGCAACTTTATGAGATCCTATCCCCCACCTGCAAAAAACAACAACAAAAAAAAAAACCAGAAAAAAAAAAAAGTATGCAGCTTGTTGTGAAGGGCCTGAGTTAAATCTCCAGTATGGTGGGAGGGTGGTTCAGGAAGGACTTTCTAACCACCGGAACCACTAGTGGCCTCATCATACTGTAGCGTTGTTTCGGCAGTTTTACAATCATACCAGGCACCTTTCTCTTCACGTGGCCTGCAAACTCTAGGGAGGTTCACACAATGCTTCTAAAGTCTCCCCTACCATCCATCCTACACGCAGAACATGTAAGGAAACCAGCTCCACTGCCAGCTTAGCGTAGCATCTGTTTTGCTTTGTGGACCATTAGTGCTAATTGAAGAGCAAGTTCCTCATAGTGGATAAGGGTTATATTTTTGGGGTGTAGTAGAATTTTGGAAATGAGCAGATATTCTCAGAACTGGGTCTGTAGACTTATGGGAGTCTTTGGGTGAAGTCAAACCATTTCTAATTTAAAAATCAGGATGCGACTTTTTTGTGTGTGACGGCTTCTTTGAAGTGGGCAAGAGCACAGCTTCTAGCAGGGGCCTGGGCCACTCTCAGCCGAGGCGGTTCCGAGCCACCCTGGGAACACGAGCAGAAGCAGCCGCATGTTCTCCTGGTTTAGAAAGGAAAAATAGATCTTCGGATCTTGTTGGCTGGCGTTGCTTGATTCTTCCTAATTGAAACAAATACAGAACATGTAAACAAATATTTTGAGAGAAGGAAGATGAGTATCACTCATTTATTCTCATTCTCCAAATATTTCCAGGGTTACCTACTGTGTGCCTGGCCCCATGGACCCCACAGATGGGAATCTCTGCTGCCTGGGGTCTCCCTGCCCCTTTCTAATCTGGAATATCTCCATGCGTTCTCCGTGGTGTCTGCCTTCCTTTTTACACAGCATCACATTTTCAAGGCTACCTGTGGTGTTGCACGCCCAGTAGCTGGTGTTCCCTGTGTGACCGTGTCATACACTTCGTGTGTCCATGAACTTGCTCATGGCTGATCCATTGTGGGCCTTTACACATCAGGCCTCCGAGAATGTTCATGGCCAAGCCGCTTCATGTCCACACACTTTCCCTCCTTGTGGATTTGAACCTGGAAGGAGTCAGGTGTGTTGGTTTTGTGAGGGACTTGTGGCCAGTTTTCAGCGTGGTTTGATGCTCGCACTGGCAGTGCCTGAGGTCCCTAAGTCCTTGTTCTCCTATTCTCACATGGTCCCTTGGCTTTTCCCCGGTGGACCCTGACATTCACATTTCCTTTCTTTGTCTCTCCAGGTTCTCAGGAGACGATGAAGGGAAATGCAGATTTGGTGAGTTCTCATGTGACAGTGGGTGTGGCCTGTCCCTCTCCTGTCCCCAGACCTTTCCCTGCAGCTGTGCCCAGAGCCTGGGGCCCTTGGCCTGGCTGGACAGTGAGGTTCTGGTCCCTGCCCTCCACAGCCCGCTGACCCCGGCCCAGTGCTTGCTGAAACAGGTTGTCCCAGCCTGCACTTCCTCTTCCATCTGGCTGAGGGGACATAGCTCTCGAGGGGTGGGGATTGGCACCAAACGCCTGCTGCTGTCTTTCTGGTCTACTTACTATATGGCTCTTGTGGACTCCATGCTGGGGATGAGATCACACAGTCCTGTGGAGCCCTGTGGGAAGGGACAGAGAAGTTAGGCAAAGGAATGTGCAACATAGACAAGAACAGGCCGCCGTGGGTGGGACTTATAGGGACCCGAGCCTCAGACACTCCCAGGGTGGCCACAGCCGAGCTGCTTGACAGAGGTCCCCGGGCAAGAGCTCCCAAATGTATGAGGTCTTCTAGGTCGGGTATGTGTGGGCTGGCACCACCCATCCCTGAGCCCTGAGCTGGAATGCTGGCTGGGGACCCTGCCGCTCCTGCAGTGGGAGTGCAGCCCCCGTGTCCCATGCCACCCTCCAGACTGTTAGGCACATGTGTGAGAAGCAGGGGTCGCTCCAGGTTTATGCTGCAGGTGTGTGTCCTCGGCAGGCGTATGTCCTGAGCGCGGAACCTTGCGGCCACTGCCTCATCATCAACAACGTACGCTTCTGCCCGACGTCGGGGCTTAGCACGCGCACCGGCTCCAACATTGACTGTGAGAAGATGCAGCGCCGCTTCTGCCGGCTGCATTTCCAGGTGGAGGTCAGGTACGACCTGACCGCCAAGGTACGGCTCTTGTCCGGGGACGGAGATGGGGGTGAATGGGGCAGTGTCGTGTGAGGGACCTCAAAAGCAAGCCAACTCCCCAGATGATCCCTTATATCCCTACGACAGCTAAGCGTCAGATTTGGGGAAGGAAGGTCTGAAAATGGGCTCCCTTGGCTGCCTTCTAGTGACCTCCTATGCCTCAGTTTCCCTATCTGGAAAACAAGAGTAATCCTCCTCATTAGGTTGTTACGGAAATTAAGTGAACAGCCCCTTTTCTCTGAGAATGGTGACTGTGACTTCGGTATTGGTCCCTGGATGCAGTCAGTGCTCTGCCCTGGCCTTCAGCAGGACCAGGAGTCAGCGTGTGGGGGCAGCTGATCCATCTTTGCCTCTGGCTCACCGCAGCCTTCCCTTCCTGTAGGAGATGGTCCAGGCGTTGGCACAGCTGGCACAGCGGGACCACCATGCTCTGGACTGTTGCGTGGTGATCATCCTGTCTCATGGCTGTCAGGTAGGAGCCCCCCCCCACCCAGCCTTGCTTCTCCGGCAAGTGCAGGCCAGAGGCTGTCTCCGGAGGGCCCACAGGAGCCCCGTCTCTTCCTGTGTCCACAGTGCCCATGGCTTTCTGGGAAAGAGCTACGGGGCTCTGCCCACCCCCTGCTGTTTCCCAAGACTGCCTGGTCTTCTGAGGAGTCAGAAGTGCCTTCCTGTGTGGGGCTGAGTGCTGAGGAGTCTGGGACTAGGGCGCAAGGTCTGTCTCCAAAGCTGTGCCTCTGGGTTTTGTTCCCAGCCCTGCAGGCCCGTGGCTGCTGCGTGGGAATCAGGACAGAGGGACCCGCTTGTGTGCTGGCTCTCTGGCGGCCATTCCCTTACTCCTACCTGGACCTTGGTTTCCTCAGGGATGGTCAAACTAGCAGTCACAAGCTGGTGGCCTTGAGGTCCTCTATGGGCTTGACAGTATGTTTATTTTTTTCAGCATTAGGGGTTGAAACCAAGACTTTCACATTGAGCTGCATCCCTAGTTCTTTTTTCTTTTTTCTTTCGAGACAGGGTCTCATTAAGTCACTAAGTTGCCCAGGCTAGACTTGAACTCTTGATCCTCCTGCCCCAGCCTCCCAGACAGCTGGGATTATAGGTGTGTGCCTCCATCCCTGGATTCACAGTATTTTTAAAACTGACAAATTTCTTTCAGCCTCTCATGAATAACACCAGGTTCTGGCCTCACTAGTCCAGCATCCTCACAATGCAGCGCTGGTCTGCTGCTAGCCGGGGATGCCCCTCTGAGCCTTCTCCTCCTAGCATGGCACAGGGCATCTCATGGAGCCTGTGAGAGATGCAGCCCTCAGGCCCCTGCTGTGGAGCTGTGCATTCAGAGTCTGCCCTGTGACGGGGCTCCTGTGCATGGAAAGCTTAAGCTAGAGCAGCAACTGTCAGTGTTTAGCTGAGGCAGAGATGCCCAGAGGACAAATTTCTGGCTTCGGAGGTCCAGGTGACCCCAGAATCTGCACTTCTTCCAAGTCCTTGGCGGATGTGGATGCTGCTTGTCCTGGGGCCACACCTGTCGCCTCTGGTGTGGAGGCAGTTGGCCGGCACTGTCAGGCCATCTAGCCCTTTCAGGCGTATAGGTCTATGACATCTGCAGCAGGTGCTGACCAGTGTCCTTCCAGAGCCAGCCTGGTCTGGCCCTGCGAGCCTGGCGTCCTAACTGGGATCTTCTGAATGCCTGGACCCCACAAAGCTGCTGGGAAGGCCCTGATTCCTATACTAGCGTCTTGGTTTTGTGACCAGGGTTCTTGGTCTTCTAGGCCAGCCACCGCCAGTTCCCGGGGGCTGTCTATGGCACAGACGGATGTTCTGTGTCTGTGGAGAAAATTGTGAACATCTTCAACGGGACCAACTGCCCCAGCCTGGGAGGGAAGCCCAAACTCTTTTTCATCCAGGCCTGTGGTGGGGGTAAGTAGTTCTCCAGCTGCCCGAGGGTGTAGCTGGCAGGGAAGGAGCTGCCCCCTACCCCCTTCCCCGCCCACCCCCCACTGGGCTGCTCCAGCCAATCAGAGGTCTCAGACGTGGATATGGTCACTGTTGCCACATGGTGGCTCCTGCACTATCTAGAGTGCGCTGGGCCTCATCTGCTCCAAAGAGATCGGTCTTCATGTCAGGGTGCAGTGGTGTCGTGGGCTCATGTGACCGTGGGAACCTCAGCTTCAGAGGCTGGGTGAAAACCGAGCGGAGGACAGAGCGGCAATACCTTATTTTCCCTGTCATCGTGATTCTCGGACCTCCACATCTGGATAGAATCTATTTCCACTGACTTAGAGAAAGGGAGGCCACAGCCAAGCTGCCAGGGGCAACTAAAGAATTTAGTGATTGGAATTCCAAAGAGCTCAAGTCTTGATGATTTGGGGAAATTTTTCACCATTACTTGGCTTATTTACAGTTGCTTTATGCCTTGTGTCTTAGTCCACTTTGTGTTGCTATAAGCAAGTACCACAGACTGGGTGATCAATGAAGAGTGCAGGTTCAGGTAGCTCACAGTCCTGAAGGCTGGTGGTCAGGCGCACGGTGCCAGCATCCGGTGAGCGCTTGTGTTGCACCTTAGCATGGCAGAGGGCGTCGTGGGGAGACAGGAAGTGTCCCAGTTCAGGTTCTGTGGTTGTGTTCTTGTCTTTTATCACTGTCATTGTTGTCTTCCTCTTCCTTTTCCCCCTCTTCCTTGTCCTTCCTCTTTTCCCCTTTTTCCTCCTCTGCCTTCATCATCATCATCATCACCATCATCATCGCCACAGGGTCTCACTTGGCTGGCTATAAACTTCTGTGCTCAAGGGCTCCTCCTGCTTCAGCCTCCTGATTAGCAGGGAAAGTCATCACACATCACCATGCCAGGCTTTGCTCTCTTTATAAAGCCATTATTTCCTTTGTGAGAGTCCCACCCTCACAGCCTCATCTAACCCTGATTACTTCCTGAGGGTCCCACTCAAAACACCACTAAAATATGAATTTAAGGATTAAGTTTTCAACATGTGAACTTCTGTGGACACATTTAAGTCACAGCACTCTGATTTTATTTATTTACTCATTTACTTATTTTAGTGTTTTTGAGACAGGATGTCTTTATGTTGCCCAGGCTGAACAGAACTCCTAGACTCAAACTTCCTGCCTCAGCCTCCTAAGTAGCTAAAAAACAGGTGCGTGCCACCTAGCACCCCGATTATTTTTATTTATTTATTTATTTGTCTTTTTGAGACAGGGTCTCACTGTGCAGTTCAGGCTGGCCTTGAGCTCACTTTGTAGCCCAGGCTGGTCTCGAACTTGCAACATCCTCCCTGCCTCAGCCTCCTAAGTGGTGGGATTACAGGTGTGTGCCACCACACCCAGGTAAAACAATTGGTAAAATCCTGCAATAGTGAAAACCCCCTCTTCACTAGGAGAGAAGGCAGGACAGGGCTGGAAAATATGGCTCCAAGTCATTGACTTGGGAGTACCCCCAGGTACACTGCTGCATAGTATGACCACTTGGCCAAGCCAGCCAGCTGCCTCCATCAGGCAAGGCTGTCAGTTTGGGGGTGACCCTTTAGAATTTCAGAGCTCATGCCAAGAAGGCAGAAAGAAACCCCCTGTGTTGCAGGGGTTATGCGTTTTACATGCTGAGGGGACACACTGTGTGGGTTACTTTTCTCTTGTTGCTGAGACAAAATACCTGACACCCAGAATTAAGGAAGGAAAGGTTTATTTAGCTCACGGTTTGTGGAGGTTTCAGTCCATGCTCGGCTGGCTCCAAGGCAGGGTGGCACACAGAGGGCAGCACTGCATGGTGGTGAAAAATAGCAAAAGCAACAAGAGCACAAAGGGAGGAGCCCGGGAGCCAGCCTCTTTCCCTCCCTTACATTGTATGCAGGCTACTCGCCCCAGGGCGGGTGGAGCACTCACACCCATAATCCCTGCATTGGACCATGGATCAATCCCAAACTCTAGCAGCCCACCCCATGAATGCACGAGGCTCTAGGGGGACATTCAGACACAAACCATAACACACACCTCTGCCCACTGGCAGTTACTCTTATGGGAAAATTAATTTTGCCTGCCAAAGAGTTTGGAATTAATGAGGCTCTGTAAGGATCAAGCCACACATAAAACATGTAACCACCCCAGGCTAGGCTTTCATGTCAGATGTGAGAGGGAGGAGGATGTGGATGAAGCTGCAGCTGGCATCCCTGTCTGACTCACCACACCCCTTTCCCACCCTCTCTTTGATTCTGTTGTTTCTTTGGCTTTCTCAGGTAGCCCCTCTGCTCATCCCCACCATGTCCCACCATCCATACATCCCCCCCCATGTATTCATCAGGCTTCTGTTGCTATAGTGAAACACCTGAGGCTGGTTGCTATATAAAGAAAAGAGGTTGATTGGGTTCACAGTTCTGGGAGTCTGAGCATGGAAGTGCCCCTTCCTCTGAGGTTTTAGAAGTTTGAGCAGGGCTTTTCTTTGTCAGGAGAAACCCTGATGTATTTATTTCAGTGACGAGTGGCATTGGTTTTGCTTCCCACAGAGCAGAAGGACCACGGGTTTGATGTGGCCTTCGTGTCCCCCGATACCGAGGCCCCTGGCAGCAGTGATGAGGCAGATGCTGTCCCGTTCCAGGGAGGCCCGGAGCCCACGGACCAGCCTGACGCAGTGTCGAGTTTACCCACACCCAGTGACATCCTCGTGTCCTACTCTACCTTCCCAGGTGAGCGTGTCTCTCCAGCCAGGGGCCCCATCTGTCCCAGAGTCGAGTCCTGGTTCGGCGTTGTGGTGCCTGTGTGACCCCAAGCAAGCGACTGTGCCTCTCTGAGCCTCAGCTCAGGGTCAGGCTGGTGAGGCTCTGGGGGCACAGTTTACAGAGTCACAGCCCTTGGGCTTGTGGCCTCACTTGCCTCCCCCTCGTCCAGCCCTGCTTCAGTCTTCTTACCTTTAAGATGGGAAAAGTAATCACACCTGGGGGGTGTTGTGAGTGCCCCGCTGTGCACCTGGCACATAGCAGAAAGGAAGGAGTGCAGTGCCTCAGTCCTTACGCTGAGGGGGTCATGTGAGTTTTGGCAGGCGTGGTGTCCTTGCTGGGACGACAGGAGTCGCAGCCACAGTCAGGGGTTGCTCACAAGAGTGAAGGAAAGTCATGAGTGACACAGAGCTACAGGGCGTGGGCTGCTCCTGTGTGTGGCGTCTGGAGATCAAACCCAGGGCCACTTCGTGGGTGGGTCACGGTCTGGAGGCGGCTCCCCAGCCCTTTGGGGTTTCCTCCTCCCGAAGGTTTCGTCTCCTGGAGGCATACCACGCGCGGCTCCTGGTACATCGAGACCCTGGATGGCATCTTGGAGCAGTGGGCTCCCTCTGAAGACCTGCAGGACCTGCTGCTCAGGGTGAGGGCCGCCTTCCTCCCTGGGGTGGGGCTGGGGCTGCTGGTGGCCCAGTGTGGCATCTGCAGGGCAGGCAGCCAGTGACACTCAAGGCATCATGGGGGCAGACCCTGTCTGTTGCTGAGCCTTAGGGCCGTGAGAGTTGGCAAGCTGAGGACTGAACCCAGCCTCTTTACACTAGAGTGTATTCCAGGCCCTTTCTGCTTTTTTATTTTGTGACGGTCTGGCTCAGTCACTCAGTTGCCCAGGCTAGCCTTAAACTTGTGATCCCCTAGCCCTTGCCTCTCAGAGTGTGGGATGACAGGCATGCGGCACCGTACCTGGCTTGGTGGACGCTTTGGCTTCTCTTAATGTGGGATATAACTGCCTGTGGTGACAGTTACCCTTTTTCCAAAGGGCCACATTGCCTTGTAGGGGGCCTCCAGGTGGACCCCTCCTGGCTGTCCACAGTGCAAGAGTGGGACCACTCAGTGGCCCAAGTATGGTGGTCCTTGCCAGGCATGGTGGCGCACGCCTATCATTCCAGCACTTGGGCGGCTGAGGCAGGAGGATCATTGTGAGTTTGAGACCAGCCTGGGTTACAAAGTGAGCTCGAGGCCAGCCTGAACTGCATAACGGGACTCTGTCTCAAAAAGACAAACAAACAAACAAAAAAAACAAGCATGGTGGCCCTGAAGGCTGGCCATGCTCTGCCCTACCGCTGTACCTTTCATCTTTTGCTCTTGACCTTAGAGTATCCTGACTGTCCTTTAAGGCACTCCCCTGCTTCCTGGGATAGCCCCACTCTGTGGACAGCCAATCAGAGCCCCTGGCTGCCTTGGATACAGCTGGGTCCCTCTAGGTCTGCCCTGTATTTTGCCCAGAAACAGTGATGTCAGGCCTGGGGCCACTGTGAGGGAGGGACTTTCCAGGCTGAGCACTGCTCATCAGACCCCAGGACAGGAGACAGACAATGCAGGGAACTCAGGTGCTATGGCCCTGTACCTGTGACCCTCAGAGGCCACCGGGGCCCAGCAGGGCAGGGGTGGAGGACACCCAGGGCCAAGCCTTGCACTCGGCTGCTGGTCGGGAGTCTCGTCTCTTCCCTTGACCTTTCTTCATGCAGACCTTTCATTCTGAGTGGAACTCTGTGATCTTTTAAGGTTGACATTTTCATTTTTCTTTGGTTGTTTTGCTTTTTGAGACATAGGTCTTGCTTTGTAGTCCAGGCTGGCCTTGAACTCACTATGTAGCCCAGCCTGGCTTCAAACTCAAGGGGATTCTCCTGGCTCAGCCTTCTGAGTGCCGGGATTAGAGGCCGTGCCACCCCATCAAGTGATTCTTGTGTTCTTTAGCCATGTAGTCCGGGTGCTTGCTCTGTAACCCACTCACGGAGGCTGTGGGTGGGGAGCTATTCTTCCATTTAGCAGACACCCTCGGCCTCTTGAACTCACAGTTCACTGGAGAGCACTGCACTCACAGACTCCCCTGCGGTTCTGTTTTCACAGGTCGCTAATGCTGTGTCCGAGAGAGGGATTTACAAACAGATTCCTGGGTGCTTTAATTTCCTCCGGAAAAAACTTTTCTTTAAAACCAAATGAAACCAAGGCTGGCCACCCTGCCTCATCATTCACCCCACAGTTTTCCTGCTGCTGCAGGTGGCTGAGATCACCACGTCCTATAAGTCAAGGGCTTAAGAGCCGTGCAGAGCCAGGCAGTTCCTGTCCCTCACCGTGCAGCAGACTGCAGCCATGCCGAGTGGAGAGCAGCATCCAGGAGCGGAGGGAGAGGAGCAGAAAGCCGTGGACACCACGCAGTCTCCGCACGGTTGCCCCGTGGGCCAGGTGATCCTTGGTCCTGGCGTTACCCTGGCATCGGGGGACACTCTGTGCTATCCCTGGCCTCCAGCTGCCAATGCCAGGAGCAGCCCCCTGACCATGGCCATCTTCAGACATTGCCACCTGTGCCCTGGGTGACAGAACGGTCCCCACTGGAGAAGCGAGGGTCTGCAGGGATCTGGGGCCATAGGCAGACCAGGGTCTCTCAGGTCAGCCAGCTTTGGCTACTAGAGTTAAACAGCTGGGTCTGGAATTCTAAATGAAGTGCCAGCAATGGTGAACATTCTTTTATTATATTATTGAGTTTTAAAAATAAGTCTTAGGTGAATATGGATTTTTTTTTTTTTGCCTGTATCCCTTCTTATTTTGCTCCAACTCTTTGTCTTCCCTCATAAAGTAGACTTTTGCTATTTTCAAAACATTCCCCCAGAGTTGGGTATCTCAAAATAAAATAATAGTTAAAATGGCTGTGCAGTGGTGGTGAACCAGTGTCATGTGTGTTTTCTTTTAAGACAAAAAATGTTCATATATGAGTTGTTTTTTCTAAACTCGAACCTGATATTCAAGTTTAACTGCAGTGTTGGCACTGGGTGATAAATAAGTGGGTTTTGGGTTGCAGTTGGGCATTCATCTCTAAAAGGTTCGCCATTGCTGTCTTGACCGTAGCTTGGTGGTGGTGTTGTGGCAGAGCAGCCCACAGTTCCTGCCAGCCTTACTCCTAGCAGCACTGGGAGGACTATAGCGTGGGCTGCTCTTCAAACTTGCTGTTGGTTGTCTAAGAGAAGCTGTCTGAATCCCTCATTTCCTGGTAGGGTTGACACCCGGGAGAGCATGAACACTGAGAGACAGGGTCTGTGACTGCCATGTTTTATGCCTACATGTTTAAATAACCCAGTGGGACAGATGGACCAGGTTCCCTGAGAAGCCTTATAGGCTTGGGTCAGGGCCAGAGTCTGACTGCATGGCAGCTGGTAAGTTCCAGTGCCTATGCAAACCCCTTGTCCGTATATCAAAACAAGAGAGGGGAATTCTGAAGAAAGGCAGGAACTGCTCAAGGACTTCTCTATGAAAGACATTATGTTACTTTAGGAGTACTGTTATCTGTTTAATTAATATGTTTATAATTTAATTAATATGTTAATTTAGGAGGCTATTTCCTATTATCTCCAGGAAGATCTCCACTCAGGAGTGAGGTGCATGAGGCTGCAGTCTTTACCTAGTTAATTGAGGTTGGAGCCAGCTGTCCTTAGCTGTAGCCTTGTCTTGTCCTTTGTGGTGTCATGGTTTCACCCACTATTACAGGCCTCAGTGGGAACCAGTGACTCATAGAGGTTCGCTTACTATGAGTCTGTTGCCCATCTCCAGACAAGGAGCCTAGGCCTTTGACAGACTCACAAATACACATGAAAAGCCAATTGGTTAATATTAAATCATGCTCAGAGCCGCTCTGTAGTGGTCTCCATCAAGTCCTCCTTTTTGTTTTTGTAATTGCAGCAGTTGAAGCATGCCTTGAGACTGGACAGGTCTAGCATTGTGGGGTTTGGTGTTCCCTGTGACAGACTACGAACAGAAGCAAAAGATGCAAGCATGTTAATATAATCAATCCATTGTAGATTCCAAGATGGCTCTGGTGGCAGCAGACTTCACCACGTGTTTGAAGATCTCTTCTCTCTATGGCCACATGTTCCAGGATGGCATCTACAATGATGTTTTATGACCTGTTAATATACAAACAATACCCTTGTTACCATGTTACTAATTGTACTGGGCCATCCTTATTTATTTATTTATTAATTTTATGTCCTTTTTGTCCTTTATTTATATGTTCTTATTTATTTATTTGTCCTTTTGCCAGTTAGCCCTAACTGCCTATAATATTTATAACTAACTTAGCTGTCTATAATATTTTCCCTCTAAAGAACTATTCCTAACTGCAATTAGGGAAGATGGGGCTTAGTTTTCATCTTAACTCTTCAAGCTGAGAAGGGTCAGTGTAAAGGGAGACCAGAGCTCTCCTCCAGAGAGCTAAATCTAATGGCCTCAGATAGAAGTCCTATTGTAGTTTACCATTTATGAACTCTTTTTATGAGGTGGATTTGGTGGATCCTGGTAGAGGGAATCTAGCGTATTTATTGTTGGTTTTATCTGTGTGGTCATTTGGAGTTTGACAGTTTCTAGGCAAGAATAAAATAATTTTTGGAGGAATTAGTATTACTATGGCATTGTTTTATATATCTTGTGGTTGTACTTTTCTGCTGGATGTTCAAGACCAAGTTAAAGTGAGACCTGTATTAATTAAAATTAACTTCTTGCTATCTATCTAGGTCAGTTAAATCTTCTCAGGATTTACCTTGGAACCATGTACAGTGCCTCTCTGCACTTCTGTCAGTGTCAGCCATCTGGATGAGTCACGGCCATTGCTTGACCCAGTTGCTTTCTGTGAAAGCTTGGGAGACTTTTCTCTCCTGGTGACTCTCCTTAGGCACGCTATACACCGTAGAATCCCTTTCCTCTGTGGTCCCACAATCTCCTTGATCAGAAGATCAAGTGAGTTATAGGATGGTGCAGCTATAGGATGGTGCAGTTATAGGATGGACACAAGGATCTCTTGTGTCCTAGGTCCTCTTTGACCTTGGAGGGATAGGGCCAAAATGCTGGCTATCCTCTTAGCCCATCTATCTAATTTTTAGTCTCTAAACCTCAGTTGTTGAACGTCCAGAAGGAAAGGTCAATGACATTACATGTAGTGGGAGCAGTGAACTTTTATTAAAAGTTTATCTGAGTATTAAGCACCTTGAAATATAAAGTATAGCCAGAGAACTGTTATTTCTTACCAACCATGGATGTTCTAGTAGTTGAATCCCTATAGAATGTTAACAGACAACAATTTCATAGGTTTATAGAGAAAATTTGAAATCAAAAGCCATACATAGTAGTGTAGTATAACAGTTGTGATAACATTTTTGTAGCACATTTAAATCTCCATCTTGGAATAGAATATCCTTTTTTAGTCATCCCTATGTCATACATAAGAAGCTTTTACCTAATTTGTTGTCCTTTAATAGGATGTCACTGAAGAGATTTTTTAACATTGTCTGGGCTATTCGATTTCTAAGCATCTCTAAATGTAGTGGCACATATGTAGCACTGCACATCACATAAGTTTTGTTTAAAAATTATCATTTGACTGATGACCTCATGTTGGCTTGATGCGAACCTTTTATTTCAAATATCTGGAGAATGAGAGAAACACAGATGTCTAAATCTGAAAGAAAATGTCTATCCCTATAAACAATCCCAGTTTTACATTGTGGAAGACTGTACATTTGAAGGCATGAATACATTTAATACACCATGAAATTAGCAATAACAAATTGTCATTACTTTGTTTCTTAATTTAGTTTTGTACCAGTAGCAGCTTTTAATAGGAAAACCTTATGGTCTTATTATTTTTTTTCAAAAACTTAACCTTTTGATGATGACCAATGTAAACCTATCACAATAATATATCTTGAACAATATTTATTGGGGTGTCTCTCATAAGGCTATGGAGATTATTGGGGCTCTTTATTAATGAACAAAAACTGGTTAATGTTATTCTAAGCAGCTGTTTTTTTTTTTTTTTTTTATTCATCAATTGGAATCCTGTTCAATAATCTCTCCCCACCCCAAGGGATTTTTATCTAATTATCTTAACAGATTTATTATTTTTTTTCAGTACTGGGAATCAAACTTATGACCTTGCGCTTGCCAGGCAGGCACTTATGCCACTGAGCTATATCCCCAGCCCCCAGATTATTTTTTAAAAATCTTAACAAATTTTTGATGACCTATGAAAAGTCAGTCACAATACTTCATACATTAATTTTGAACAATGAGGGACTCTCACGTCATAATACATAACAATATGCATTACATTTATAAAACCAATTTTAACATCATTTTGACCAGCTGGCAACTTGGAAGAAGCATATCTTTAATTTAGAGAACATTTATCTATAAACCAAATTAAATTACAGACAATTGCTTCAAAATCCAAAAATACAAAAGGAAGAAAAATTTATTGAGCTCAAATAAAACAGTTGTTTACAGATTGGACAGAGAGATAAACACAGGGAAACAGCACATACACACACAAGACAATTTGACAAACACAGGGAAACACACACACACACAAGACAATTTGCTTTTAAAATCAGTGCACTCAAATATATTTTTGGCCAGATTGAATTATAGTAATTTTTTTACAATTTTTAAAGGTTTGCAATTATAAAAAGATTAATGAGAACCTTTTCTAGGTCAATTAGCACAGATCACTTAGAAGAAGTATTTGGAAAAAATAAAAACCTTTTATCCATAACTAATGTATTTTTAGTGTTTTATTTTATCTTAAGAATACTGGTAACTTTTGTGTCCCTTTCCTTTAGGCTGTCTTCTTACAGTGTGCCTGGGATCTCTCTCTGTAAGACTTACTATAATGCAGGTTAATGTTATCACTTATGTAGACTTCTCTTTTTTTTTTTTTAACTGCACTTGTGGAATCCTTCTGAGACTTAACACAGCAAAGATGTATCTAAAGAAATTATAAAGATTTAGGCCAGTCAGAAAATAATAGCAATTTCAGATAGCGATGTATTCTTGGTTTTAATTGCTGTAGATTTTATTGGTTGCATTCTCTTAGTCACTGAGAAAATTCTACAAGATTTAAATCTGATTGAGGCTTATGTGTAGTATGGACTAACGCTGAAGTTTATAGATTTTGATTTTTATATCTTAGACAAGTTTTAAAGTGATTTTTAAGGTTTTTCTAGCTCCAACAGCCTATTGATGCCTTTACTTTGGCTCCCTGCCTGGCTGTACCCTGTTCCCTGGGTCTGTGTACATGTGATACCCTAGCACCTGTTCTAAGGGTCAGATTATAACCTTTATTTATATTTTATGAAAAGCCAATTGAACCATAGTAATTTCTGTACCACTTGTGAATCAAATCTGTCTGTATCTGGCTCCTATTTTGCTGTGGTTACGCCCATACAGTTCACTACTGGCTGTAGATGTTACAGCCATTTGTGATGTAAGAGCAGCAACCTTGCCTGTGCACGTGAAAGGGCAGGAGCTGGTGCACTCTATGCTGACCCATGCTGACAGAGGCTTAGAAAAGGCAAGCCATGGCTGTCAATTGGCTCCAGGACAGAGGTGCAGTCCCTGGGTGCCCTGAGCTAGGCCACACCATCTGTATTCCCTGCTGCAGCTGACACACTGTTTCAACAAAGCAGGCAATTGGGTCCCTCTCATCCCCCTTGTCCTTGTCCGGCTACAGCCTCAACTGAGCTCCTTGGTTTCCACTGTTGTTGCTGGCTTGCACCCAGTGGCCCTGTTAAAAAACCCAGAGATCCATATCACATGCAAAAACTTGTATCTCATCTCGACAGTCACCATCAATCACACTAGGCATAATAGTTATTCCTTTTAAATTTAGATCAGCCTT